CACCTGCCACCCCTCTGCTGGCCTCTCAGCAAGCGGCCCCCTCAGGTCGCCTCGACAGGCGACGGGAAAAGGGGGGGTGGGTGGTGGCGGCCGGTAGGTGCAGCGGCGGGGCCAGCAGGTGCAGTTGCGGGGCCGGTAGAAGGGGACGGCAGGAGCCGTCAGGAGGGGACGGCGGGGCCGTCACGAAGGGACGGCGGGGCCGTCAGGAGGTGACCGGGCCGCGACGGGGGCAGGCGGCGGGGCCGCGTAAGGGCCTGGGCGGGGCCGCGACAGAGCCGTCGGCGGGGCCGCGTGAAAGCCGGGGCGGGGCCGCGTAGAAGCCGGGGCGGGGCCGCGCGAGAGCAGGTGGCGGGGCCGCGAAGGAGCCGGGGCGGGGCCGCGTGAGAGCAGGCGGCGGAGCCGCGTAAGGGCCTGGGCGGGGCCGCGACAAAGCCGTCGGCGGGGCCGCATGAAAGCCGGGGCGGGGCCGCGTAGAAGCCGGGGCGGGGCCGCGCGAGAGCAGGCGGCGGGGCCGCGAAGGAGCCGGGGCGGGGCCGCGTGAGAGCAGGCGGCGGGGCCGCGACAGAGAGGGCGGCGGGGCCGCGTCAGTGAAGGCGGCGGGGCCGCAGGGGAAATGGCGACCCGAGGGGTCCCTAAAAAAAAGATCGCGCCTCGGGGGGCGCTTCGGTGGGCCCAAGAAAAAACGGTCCGTAGAAGGACCCGCTCTATACCATGTGAGAATAAGCGAACAGGAATGGATGAACTAGCAGTGAAATGAGTACAAGTAGGAAACCCTAGAATTGTGTACCCCCTATAGGCTAACCCACTGTAGCCTACACAAGCAGAACATATCTAATGTTTGACAATGATGTGGAGCTCCTTCACCCCGAAGAGCGTCCCCTCGACCTTGCAGGCTGTCTGGAGCGCTTTGATGCGGATGAGCAGCATCGAAACGGTTGTCGGCTTCAGGGGTTGGACACGGACGTCGGGATTCAGCTCCTCGAGCTCCTCGGCCTTTGCAATGCCTTCCTGCCTCGCGATTGACAGAATGTACGCCCTGATCCGCGTGGCGTTGACGCGGGGACCGTGCATCCATTGTAGGTCGCCCTTGGCGGTGTGCCACTGATCACCCATGTCTTCGTCGATGTACCTCCCTATCTCGTCCTCGTGTTCCAGCACGCCGTCCCCCTTGACTCTGGCGGTTTGCTGTCTTGGAAGGTTCGCGCAGCACCATCTCCTGAAGTCGAGCAGCGCCCGCAGGTATTGAATCCGGGTCGTTCTCGCCTCCAGCGTGTCCAGATGCCGGAAACCCCATATCATCCTCAGCAATCTGTTCTTCTTGGCGAGCTCTTTGTTGATGTCGAAGGCGGCTTCCGCAAAATCGTCGCGCGGAATGTTTTGCAGGAAGGCGTCATCTTTCTCGTCGGCTGCCAACAAGTCCTCTACGGTCAGATACATGTAGTCGTTTTCTGGAAATGGTCCAATTGGCGGCGGCTGCTCCGTGTCCGAACGCGGCGAGTACCGGTCCGGCTCGGGTTCGGGAGCCCCTTTCGTCCCTGGCGGTAGGGGGATGGTCGGGTCGGCGGGAATTTTTGCCCTAGCGGCATCTACGTCGACCACCATGTCGGCGGGAATATTTGCCCTAGCGGTGTGTACATCTTCCTCCATGAAAGGCTCATTCAGGTCGGGAATCGCGCTGCTCCCCGCCGGCGACGCGACGCCAGCCATCTCGGCGGGTAGAGTTGTTCCCATCGGCCTCTACTTGTCGCCGCAATCTCGCGGCGGTACGTGCTCAGCCCACCAAAGTCGATGCTGCACAATCGCTGTCGTGTATTGCCTTCGCACCGTGGCCCTAAAGGCCGCCCGTCTTTCGGCCCTCTCAACGTTCTCGGCGATCGTCAACTCCGCGGCAATGTCGGTCAGTTCGGGAATTTCGGGAAGTAAGGGCGGCGGATTGGTGTTCTGCTGGGTGATGTTTGGAGTGGCCGTGGTCGGCGGCACAATGGTCGGCGGGGTGTTGTCCGGCGGGATGTTGTTAGACTGGTCCCTGACCATTCGAGGCCGCACGGGGGATCACCGGCGATGACAATACTGGTTGTGGGTTTGAAGAAAGAGGTCGGCGACTTTCGGTTGTTGTCGACCTAGTTAGTCGTCCTAGTCGGAATGATCCTAAGTCGGAAGCCCGTAAAGCTTGCCGACCTAAACGCACTCTACACCGGCGTGGCTCGTCGTCGACCCTGCACCACGCGTGGTCGGTCGGTCACCGAGAAGCGTGAAAATGAGTAAGGGAAATGTGGCTCACCAGAATGGAAATGAATGCAACGCAACAAACAAGTGTCGAAATGCCATGGACACTTGGCCGTCAGGGGGTCATAGCATAGAGAGGCACAGTCGCGGTTCGGGCGGACAGGTGTTGGCGGGCGATCCGTGGGCAGGTCTCCAACTCTGCATGCAAGGCAGAACGGCACGGCGGCGCAATGGTCGACGTGGCACGGGGCACTCATGTCTTTTTCGCAGCCGACTGTCCGGTGTTCCCGTCACGGTGAACCGTGCTTACACGTCGGCGTGACGCAGCAGTGCTCATCGCGTCGGCCGACGATGGTATCCCGCGGGGACGTTCTCGCCAGCAGGCCGGCGAAGGCTTGATCGCCGCGTGGACAGACGTTTGCCGATCGATGTTCGCCGCGTGGAATGCTGTGTTTCGGATGGGCGACGTGTGGCTCTGCGTGCCAGCACAGTGGTCGGCCAGAAGTCGCGGTGGGCCTCACGTCGCAGTCCGCGCCGATGGGTAGGTGGACGTCGTGGCACGCTGGCCGCGACCGGCGTGGTCGACGTGTCGACCTCGTACGGAGGGTCCGTTGAGAGGTGCTATCGGGGTATTTTTCATCGGGATTGCCGGGTGACGCAGGGTGACGCTCCTCGCCCAGGACGTGCACTCAGTTAGCCGGACAGGATGACGCAGGGTGGCGGATCCCTTTCCCGAGCCGCGTCGTTTTTGCACCCGGATGTAGTCGGGGCGTTGAGATATACCATGCTATCTTCTGGAACGATTTACGAAATGCGCGTTAGAAAAGCCTCCAGTTTGCCAAATTGTGAACGCCCAGCCAGTCCCCCGGGATCACTTAAATTACAGGGCTATAGGTACGGCTCAGTATAGCTCAGCAGACAAGCGACCCCGCCCGGATGAGCTTTAAATTACAAAGCTATAGGTACAGTTTTTTCCTGCCCGTCGGTCAGGTCGACGGTGGTCGACGCTCCGTTGACCACCGTCGGACCCTGTTGGGTTGAGACATACGCCTGAGAAACACACCAGACATTCTTTGCAAAACCTAGGAACCCCATCGAAGGCACTTGGCAAGGTGTGGGTGAGACGAAAACCGAACTCATCTACCAACCAGCGACTGTACTGTTCTTTGTTCGCGTTCCCATAACAGAATCTAGAACCGCACTTAGCGTCAACTCCGCGACGTTTTAACAGTGCCCATGACAAGACCGAACAACAGACTGTGCCGGATAGAAGTGTAGTTTTCACTGATCAACAACAGCGCACACCACCCGTAATTTCATACCTACCTCTGAATGGCGTGAATTAGTTGTCTGTGCATGAGCCTTTGAGCCCGTTGATCGGGAAATTGGGGAAAAACATGGTTCGGAAATTGGGTCGGGTCGGATCGGCCATGGTTCTAAATTTCCCGAACATTCCAGGTCAAGCATCCAAAAGTGTGAGAAAATACGTTTCGATTTTCTGATGACCCCATGAATCTCGTATGGAAGTTCATAAGCGTGATTGTGTCCTTGTACCAGCAAGCTTCAGTAGCAACACCTGTCAACTGATACATGTGCATCTAAATACAAAGGTGTACCTGAGTTCGTTCACAATATTTGTGGGCTGTCACAAAACCAAAGGTGCCCGTAAATTTCCAGCATTTCCTCTGTCACCATATTTTCCACGGAACATCGACACTGGAGTCCAGTCCGGAATTCCAGCAGCAGCATAACAAAACCACCACCACAGCACAAGGAAGTCAGCAGCAGGAACTCTTTTTTCAAAACCACCACCACATTTGCCATCGCCTGACTGACTCGAGAGAAATTCTTCCACCACCAAACACCTGCCGTGCTGACGCACAACAAAAACTACCGCCTGCGCTGCGATGGCCAGAGCTGTTGTGAGTGGACGCGGAGCAGTGCGAGCGGAGAGCTCTCCCTTTCCTTCCTGGGCAAGTCTGGGAAATTGGGAATGGATGGTGGTGGTGGTGGTTAACAGTGCTTTAGGGAGAACGGTAGGGCTGTGAATGGCATCACTTCGTGGGCTCTGGGCAGAGGATCTTGAGTGGGTGGGGGGGGGGGGGGAAGTGAAGGGGGAAAAGGGCACACCCCAGCCACCTCTCCCGCGCATCCTCCCACTCCTGCTGTCCCACCCCCTCTTCACTAGTTTGTTAGCACAGTGGTGCTTCTGATGCACATAGCTTCCTTCCACACAGCTGGCGGTGAATGGCTTTAGTGGATGTTATCCGTACTGTTTCATGCGATGTTCAAAGCTTATTCTAGGTGCACTTAGTGGCTTGTCCCTGGTGCTTTGGAGCCGTTGTACATTTACCTTTCGGCAGTCTTACGCAACGAACAGGGAATAATTTATTGCCGCGCCGTGGCGTCATCCGTAGTTATTTTTAAAAGTTGGGTTCCATTGCCAGGATGGCGCAGTCGGCGTGCCAAGAAAGAATAGACTTACTGCGCCCGTTGGCCTATTCCGCTCGTTAATATATTTCCCTTGTCGTCTTGGCCTTCCGATACTAGCTGAACGTGTTTCTAGTGCCGAACCCACAGCCGTTCACACAGTCTCCGCTCTACGAGACAGTCTGCTTGGCGGTAACTTCTACCACACGGACAGCATAAGATCACCCTAGCGAAACTGGCTCGTCGCAATTCCCGTCTTTCTTCGGAGGGTTCGTTTAAGGCCGAGACTATAGAGACCACTGGTTCTTTCAGACCGTTCTAGTACGCGCTTCAACACTCGCACTATGCGACGATTATGCACACCTGCCGTCACAATGGGGAGGCTTAGAGCAGGCGCGAGAGTACGAGGCCTGGTTCTGTCATTGTTGATTATAGCCGTTCTCTTCTTCTGCCAAACCATTTTCGCGCGAGGCATTCCAACGATTAGTCAATACGGTGGGCACCTTCTTCTTCTCGGTTACATATACGTTTAGGGTTTCCCTTCAACTTGCCCTTCGCACCTCCGTTTTCTCTGTGTTTAGGGTTTCCTCCTTGGCCTTGCTGTCCTGCGCGCCCGCCTCCCATCCAAGGGCCTCGTCTTCCTATCGCGCCCTTTCTTGCTTGTCGATTGCCTCTTGCCTAAGCAGCTCTTCCAACTACAGAGCCTTGAAGCTCCTTTCAAGGCTAGATTGCCTTTTTTTAATAAGTTGGTAGACATGTCCTATAAAGCTGTAGACATGTCCTATAAAGCTGTATACATGTCCGTTTCTCAGCTTTGGGAGGGTAATCTATTCTGCGTAACTACCTCCGCTTCCGGAGCTTAGATCTCCTGATGACTTTGTTGCCTCTGTCAGGTCCATCCTTTTGTTTCCACCCGTCCTTTTTTTAGTATCCTCCCGCCTTTCGTCTCATCGCGTCTTTTGTATCCTCCCGCATATTGTGCCCTCCCGTCTTTAATCTCCTCCCGCCTTTCGTCTCCTCCCGTGGTTAACCTCCTCCCGCCTTTCGTCTCCTCCCTTCGTTAATCTCCTCCCTCCTTTCGGTTCCTCCCGCCGTTAATCTCCTCCCGCCATTCGGCTCCAACCGTCTTTAACCTGCCAGCTTTTCTCCCTCCTGTATGTACTTCCTTCCATTCACAGGACACGCGTCTCGACAAGCATCGCGGGTTCCGTGCTACGGAGAAGGTCAGTGGGGGCCAGGGGACGGGAAAGTGGGGAACGGGGGAAAGCGGGGAGCAAGGGTCAGCAATCCTGAGGCCACAGGAACGCTGGACGGAGTAGGGGAGGAAGACATTGCGTACTGTTCCCACCTCGCTTCCACCTTGCAGCACTCCGCTTTCCTCCACACCGCTACTCGTCGCTTCTCCCTCCTCTTCACTTTCGTTCTCACCTACCTTTCGACCCACCGTCCCCGGTTTCCGCGCCTCCTTTCCTGTTTTCCCCTGGGACCTAGCAGGATGTCTGCCGGTGCGGCGGCAGCTAAGCCTGGCGGATTTTTTCAAGCGGTGGTTCGGCGGATGGCGCAAGCCCGGCAAGCAGAACAATAAACGGCCTCCCATTCGCGTCCTCCCAGGTGCGCTTCTCCGCCCCCTCGCGCATATTCGCCCGCACTTCTACTCCTCCCGCGCGCTCATCTCCGCGGGCGCGCGCCTCCCCTCCTCACGCGCCTATGACCTCCCCTCATGCGCGCGCTGAACCCTGATCGTTCCACCCGCTCTCCCTCCATTTTCCCCTCCCCCACCCCCTCCCCCTCCCCCTCCCCTCGTCCTCCCCTTCCCGCTCCTCTCCCTGCAGGTAACAAGACTCTGGGGCTGAACTCCCTCCGGCGCATGACGCTCAACTCGCGCGCGCAGTTCAACCCCGTGTCGCGCTACCTCACGACCAACCTCAACTTCGACCCCACCACCGGCGCGCCCGTGTGGGACGTAGTAGGCTCCTTCGGCGTCGCGTCGCAGTACGCGGATCCGCCGGACCAGGGCCTTTGCAGCACGTGCTGGGCGTTCGCCGTGGCGGGCGCCGTGGAGGGCGCGTACTACGCGTTCACGAACGCGCTGCCGGCGCGCACGACGCTGTCGGTGCAGCAGCTTCTGGACTGCACGGCCGGCAGCTGCTGGGGCGGGTATCCCGAGGACGCGCTGCAGTACATCGCGCAGAGCCGACTGGGGACGAACGCGGAGTACTCGTATAGCGCCATGGAGGGCACGTGCCTTGCTAGCTCCATCGTGGTGCGTGCGTCCCTGTGTGCGCTCGCGCGCTCCCCGCGGGCGTCCGTGCCGGAGCTTCGTCGTTTGATCCGATCCGGCGCGCTTATGCGGGGGATGCGGGGGTGCGCTGAGCCTCTTGGGCTCTGGGTCTCTGGGGTTCGGCGGTGCTTGCGGCGTGGGGTCGTGCCGGGTGAACTGCGCGGGTGGGCGTTTCCCTGCTGCATCTGCGCCGACTGCTTCCCTGTTTCCCTTCTCCGCGCAAACTCCTCCCTTCGTCCCTGTTTCCCCATTCCACACTCAAGCCCGCCCCTCCCGTTCCCCCCCCTCCTCTTCCCCGCTCCCCTTTCCCCCGCTTCCCCCACCGCGCCCACCTTTCCGCGCGAACCCCTGCGTGCAGCGCGGCGAGACGGTGCGCATCACGCTGTACGAGCAGGTGCCGCTGCCGGGCGCGCTGGGGCTCATGCTCGTGGTGCAGACGCAGCCCGTGATCGTCACCATCCGGGCCTCGCACCCTACCTTTGTTGATTATGAGGTGTGTGTGCGAGGAGGTTCCGGGCTTGCTTTGAACCCTGGAGGGGTTCGTGACTCGTGCTTTCTCTCTCTCTCTCTCTCTCTCTCTCTCTCTCTCTCTCTCTCTCTCTCTCTCTCTCTCTCTCTTGCCCTCTCTCTCTTTCTTTCTCCCTCTCTCACTCTCTCTCTCCCTCTCCCTCCTCTCTTTCTCTCTCTCTCAAATCTCCACATACGTTTCCGAGCCACCTCCCCCCTCCTCCCTCCCCGCCTCCCCGCTTCTCTTCCTCCCGTATCCCTCCGCAGGGCGGGATATACAGTGACGACGAGTGCTTCGACCCGGACAACCCCGAGCTAGACCACGTGGTGCTCGTCGTGGGGTACCACTACAGCGGCCCCTCCGCACCAGATAATTACTTCCTCATCCGCAACAGCTGGGGCGTGTCGTGGGGCGAGGGCGGGTACATGCGCATCGGCATGAGCTTCAAATACGGCGGCATGTGCGGCATGACGTACCAGCTCGGCCTGTATCCTGTCATTGACCGTGAGTGCTTGCTGGGCCAAGGAGGCACGCGGGGTACAGGGAGGGCGGGGAAGGGGGTTGGAAAGGGAGGGTGAATGGAAGGTGTTGTGAGAGGATGGTGACAGGATTGTGGGATTCTTTTCTGTTTCCCATGTCCTTCGCGTGCGCGCTCTTGAGCCTTCCGCATCCCACTCCCCCTTCCCGATCTCGACTCTTCTCCCGCTTTCTTCCCGTGCCTTCCCTACCGCCTGCCCCAATGCGCCCTGCAGCAACGACGCGTGCAAGCTCGTGCATCGCTAGCTGCGGCGGAGGCACGTGCGAGATGCTGGCGGACCGGAACACCAGCACGGGCAGCACAGGCAGCACAGGCAGCACTGGTGGCACGGGCAGCACGGGCACAACTGGGAGCACCGGCACTGCTGGTACGGCTGGCACGGCTTCCACTGCTGCTGCTGCGACTATGTTCTCTGTAGCCAGTACGGCAGGAGACGAGGGAGTGGACGAGAACGACGACCAGGGCCTCGCATCCGTCGCTCCCTATTCCTCCTACTCGACATCGCCGCGGCCTCGCTCCGCGCGGCAGGTGACTGCGCGGAACAACGTGGAGTTTGCGCGCACGCGGCTGCGCCAGTGGATGAGCAAGGCGGGCAGCGGGGCTAAGCCGGGCGGAGGAGGCGCAGGGAGAATCTCTACCGCGGCTGCAGGTGGAGGAAGAGGGGTGGGCGCAGGAGCAGCAGCAGGAGCAGGATCAGGAGGGGGAGGGCAAGGGCTAAGGAACGGCAACGGTGGCTCTGGGTCCAATAACGGGAGGGGGCCGTCGACGACTGTAGGAGCGGGGCTTTTGGGTTCCAAGTCAGATGGATTGGAAACGGTTGTGGTGAGTGGGAATGGGAATGGGAATGGAAACGGGAATGGGAATGGGAGTGGCGGGAGCACTGGTGTGACCACGACGGGGAGCGTTACAGGAAGCACGAGCACGGTTACGGGCCCGGTGGCTGGGAGCACGCAGACGACTGGCACGACTGGAAGCACGGGAAGCACTGGGACGACCGGGAGCAGTACAGGCACCGGCGGCAGCACTGGCGCCGGCAGCACTGGCACCAGCAGCACCAGCGGCAGCACTAGCACCAGCGGCAGCACTAGCACCAGCGGCGATACTAGCACCAGTGGCACCAGCAGCTCTGGAGCGGTAAGTACGGATAGCACAGGGAGCAGCAGCAGTGGTGGAAGCACAGGCAGCACGGGAAGCACTGACGGCAAAGGAAGCAGTGGCGCCGTTGGTAGCACTCGCACTGATGGGACGGTGGGCAGCAGCGGCAGTACGGCGACTGCCAATAGCAGCACGGGAAGTACAAGCAGTAGCGGGAGTGTGACTGACAGTGCAGGTAGCACCGGCAGCAGTGGCAGCAGTGGGAACACTCAGAGCATCGGCGGCAGTGGCAGCACTGCAAGCGGTGGCAGCAGTGGTAGTGCTGGCAACACAGGAGCAACGGAAAGCGCTGGCAGCACCGTTAGTAGTGGCAGCAGTAGCAGTGCGGGTACTAGCAGCGGTGGTGATTCGAAGAGTACTGGCAGCACTGGGAACAGTGAGAGTGCCGGCAGCAGTGGCAGCAGCAGCGGCACAGGCTCGACAGGAGAAGTCAGTTCTACAGGCGGGGGAGACAGTGGTAATACGGGTAATCTGGGCAGCACCGGCAGCACTGTTTCTGGTGGCAGCGCCACCGACAGCAGTGGCAGCACGAGCGGCACGGGTAGCGGAAAGGGCTCGGATACCAAGGGTAACACGGACACCAGCGGCGGCACTGGTGGCACTGTCAGCATCGGCAGCACTGTTTCTAGTGGCAGCGTTACTGACAGCACTGGCAGCGCCACCGACAGCAGTGGCACCACGAGCAGCACAGGAAGCGGAAAAGGCTCGGATACCAAGGGTAACACTGACACCGGTGGCAGCACTGTCAACACTGACAGCGCCGGGAATCCTGGGAATGGGGATAAAGCGACTGGTGCGGACGTCACGGGCAGCTCTAAGAGTTCTGGTAGCACGAGCAGTACGGGCAGCACGGGCAGCACGGGCAGCACAGGCAGCACAGTCGGTGATAACAACAGTGAAACCTCCGGCTTTGGCGTCAGTGAGAGCATTGCTAGTGCAGGCAGCACTAGCAGTGACAGCACTGGTAGCACTGGCAGCACTGGGGGCTTTGTAGGACCGAGGGGTGCTGGGAGTACACCGGGGAGTGCGGGCGGTGGGGGTTCTGACAGCAATGGAAACACAAACAGTCAGGGGAATACAGGTACTCAGGGCAACACAAAAACTGAAGGGAATACAAACGTTCAGGGTAATACAGGGTCTCAGGGGAACACGAACACCCAAGGGACAGACGTTCAGGGCAATACAAGCAATGAAGGGAATACCAACGTTCAGGGGAATACAGGGTCCCAGGGAAATACAAAGAGTGAAGGCAATACGAACAGTCAGGGGAGCTCAGGGTCTCAGAGCAACACAAACACCCAAGGCAGCTCAGGAAATTCAGGCAACACCGCAAGCAACGGGAAAACCGGAAGCAGCGGCAATACCGGCAACACAGGGAACACTGGCAGTGGCGGTGGTAGCAGCGGCGGAGGGGGGGGTTCGTCTTCCCTGGTTGGGGGAACCAGCGCGGGCGGGAGCGGGGGCTCAACAGGCTCTGTCAGGAAGTCCCCGCCGAGATCCAAGTCACCGCCGCCGCCGCGGGGCCCGGGGGCGGGCGTGGCTCCGTATTTCGAGCAGATTGACCCGTGCAAGCCGCCAGAGCCGCTGCCGACGTATGGCGGGTACCAGTGTGTGTGCGCGAATGGGCTTACTGTGGTGAACAACAAGGACGGCAGCCAGGCATGCGTGCTCGGTGCGTACTTTGGGTTGATGTGGTGGACTGATTCTGGTGCTGGGCTCTGTATGCGTGCGCGTGCGTGCGTGTGCGTGCGTGTGCATGCGTGCGTGTGCGTGCGTGCGTGTGCATGCGTGCGTGTGCGTGCGTGCGTGTGCATGTGTGTGCATGCGTGTGTGCGTGTGCGTGCGTGCGTGTGCATGCGTGTGCGTGCGTGCGTGTGCATGTGTGTGCATGCGTGTGTGCGTGTGCGTGCGTGCGTGTGCATGCGTGTGCGTGCGTGCGTGTGCATGTGTGTGCATGCGTGTGTGTGCGTGCGTGCGTGGTGTGTGTGTGCACGCGCATGCACACACACATTCTGGGTGTTAAAGACCAAGGGAGGGAATGTGTACCGTGTCATTCTACCCATTTCTCTTTGTCTCCTTCTCACCCCTCCATCCTCCCTGCTCCCCCACTCCCGTCCCTCCCTTTCCCCGCTTCTCCTTCTCCCCTCCGTTTCCCCCCCCTCCTTTTCCCCCCCTGCGTGTTGGCATCAGAGGACGTGTGTGGCGTGTTCAAGATGAACCCGTGTGGCAAGGGCACATGCATGAACGTGGGCGATGGCACGTACACCTGTGTGTGCCCCACTGACTTTGTCCTCAGCCAGTACAGCTCCGGAGCCACCACCTGCATCCCCAGTAAGCCCGCCTCTGCTCCTCTCTCCTCTGCTCCTCTCTCCTCTGCTCCTCTCTCCTCTGCTCCTCTCTCCTCTGCTCCTCTCTCCCCTTCTCTTCTCCTCTCTCCCCTTCTCTTTTCCTCTCTCCCCTTCTCTTTTCCTCTCTCCCCTTCTCTTCTCCTCTCTCCCCTTCTCTTCTCTCTCCCCTTCTCTTTTCCTCTCTCCCCTTCTCTTCTCCTCTCTCCCCTTCTCTTTTCCTCTCTCCCCTTCTCTTCTCCTCTCTCCCCTTCTCTTTTCCTCTCTCCCCTTCTCGTCTCCCCCGTGCTCACTCACTCTTCTCTTCTCTTCTCAACACGCTGGCCTGAGGCTGAGCCTGCTGTCCTCTAGACCCGGCTCACCCTCTTTCCATCACCCTTCTTCTCACCCTCTCCACCCCCTCTCCCTCCCCCTCTCCCTCTCCCTCTCCCTCCCCTGGTCTCCTCCCGTCCCCCTCCCCTTCCTTCCCCCCCTCTGTCCTTCACGCCTGGTGTGGTGGCGGTGTGTGGCTGGCTGGCAGGGGCAACGGGCCCTGTGACGACGTACGTGACGCAGGCGGGCGACTCGTGCTACGCCATCTACTCCATGTTCGGCCTCACCCACTCCGACTTCCTCGACCAGAACGAGGTGCGCTGGGACGGAGAGCAGGGGAGGGGCGCGAGTGTGGGGTAGGAGAGTGAAAGAGTGGAAGGGTGCGCGTGGGTGGATGAATGAATGGTTGGGGCGGGTGGATGGATGGATGGATGGATGGATGGATGGATGGATGGATGGATGGATGGATGGAAGGGGAAGGGGAAAGAGTACTTGTGTGTCTTCTGCGCCTTGGTGCTTATGCGGTCATCAGCTGCTAATTCCATTCAAACCTTGTCACTCATGACACTCCCTCCTTTCCTCTTCTCGTTGCTGCACCGCACTCCACACCTCGATCCTCCGTCACTCCCTTCCCCTCTCTCCGCACTACCTTGTTCACATGTGATGCCCTCTCTGCCTCTTTCTGATGCGCTTGTCATGTCCGCTCACCTCTCCCTTCACTTCCACTTTTACCGCCTGCCCCATTGCTCGTCTGCGCCCTCTCGTTCATGTACCGGTGATCCCATTGATCCCACAGGGCGTGGACTGTACCAATCTGCAGCCAGGCATCCTCCTCAACGTCTCTGCTCCTAACCCCACGCTCGTCTGCATCACACATTACCCCATCTCGGCAGTACGTCTCCTGTCCTCCTCCTCCTCCTCCTCCTCCTCCTCCTCCTCCTCCTCCTCCTCCTCCTCCTCCTCCTCCTCCTCCTCCTCCTCCTCCTCCTCCTCCTCCTCCTCCTCCTCCTCCTCCTCCTCCTCCTCCTCCTCCTCCTCCTCCTCCTCCTCCTCCTCACCCTGTTTGTTGTCAAGCTTCCTCCATCTCTCCACCTCTTCCTTCTTTTTGTCCTTTCCCGCTTGCATGTATAGGCTGCACGTATGCCATCCCTTGCATCTCTTCCGCCAGTCCCACACAGCTCCACTCCACTCTTTCCCCCCACTTTTCCCTACCGCCCCCCTTGCCCCCTCTTCTCCCCACTCTTCCTTCTTTTTGTCCTTTCCCGCTTGCATGTATAGGCTGCACGTATGCCATCCCTTGCATCTCTTCCGCCAGTCCCACACAGCTCCACTCCACTCTTTCCCCCCACTTTTCCCTACCGCCCCCCTTGCCCCCTCTTCTCCCGCCTCCACACTTCTCCGTGCTCTTTCCTGCCCTCCCTCCCTTTTTCTCTTCACCCGCTTTCCGTTCCCCCGCTCCTCCCTGCTTTCCCACTCCGCCACCCCCCATGTGCACCACGGCAGGCGGACAGCCTAGCAACGGACTGCACCGCTCTGGAGGCCAAGTTCGGAGTCAACCTCACAGACCTCAACCCAGGCCTCAACTGCGCTCAGCTCATTCCTGGACAGCAGGTGCGCCCCTCGCCTCGCCCCTGCGTGCCTTGTGCATGCCATGCCTGTGTGCTTCTGTGCCAGTACGTACGTTTGTGTGGCAAGTCGTCTGTCCCTGTGCCAGTCTATGTCCGTCTCTGGGTCTCTATGTCTCCCTTTGTCAGTCCATGGTGGTGTCCTCCCTGCAGTGGGCTGGAGCACGCATGAACACAGCATCCCAAAACCTCACTCACGTGAAACCAAGCAACCATTTCCCGTAAACCCTCACTTCGTCTCCCCCACTCTTTCCCCTCCTCACTCCTTCCTTGCCCGACGCATCCCTTCCTTCTCTCCCTCCCCTCTCTTCCCCCACTCTCTCCCTCCACTCTCTTCCCCCACTCTCTTCCCCCACTCTCTCCCTCCCCTCTCTTCCCCCACTCTCTCCCTCCACTCTCTTCCCCCACTCTCTCCCTCCCCTCTCTTCCCCCACTCTCTCCCTCCACTCTCTTCCCCCACTCTCTCCCTCCCCTCTCTTCCCCCACTCTCTCCCTCCACTCTCTTCCCCCACTCTCTCCCTCCCCTCTCTTCCCCCACTCTCTCTCTCCACTCTCTTCCCCTCCCTTCTCCCTGACACCGCGGTCCGCGCAGGTGTGTCTGGAGCGAGCAGTGAACGTGGATGGCGCGAGCAACTACCAGCTGTGCACAGAGTACCACGGCATTGCAGCGGGCGACACGTGTGCCAGCATCATCGCTGCTGCGTCCATCTCCTGGCTCACGCTCTACCGCCTCAACCCGGGTCTGCTCTGCGACAACCTCAACCCGCTCATGCAGCAAGAGGTGCGTGCGTGCCGGGGTGCGTGTGTGGGGTTACGTGCTGGGTCGGGGTGTTGGAGTTGGGGAAAGCAGAGGAGGGAGAGGAGGGGTTGCGATGGGGCGTTAGATATGTGCTGGAAGGGAGGGGGGTTGCAATGGTGGTCGTTTGGTGTGTGCTGTGCTTCCTTGTGTCGTCAAACCCAGAGGTGTTTCTCCAGACCACGGACGGAGTATCTAGATTTCCCATTCTTTCTCTCATTCTTATTTTCTCTCTTCCTTCTCTAATATTTCCTCCTTTCCTCCTCCTCCTCCCTCTCTCCCCCCTCTCTCCCCCTTCCTCTTTTCCGTGCCCTCCTCTCCCCACTGCCGCTCCCTTCTCTGCAGGTGTGTGTGGCGGGGGTGCCTCTCGGCGCGGTGGCGTGCGGCTCAGTGCGGTCGCGCGCGATCCGCAACATCAAGTACACGGTGCAGCTGGGTGACACGTGCGGGTCACTCATCCTCAACAATTTCAAGCGCAACGCCACGCTCGTGCCCATGCTCAACCGCGGATGGATCTGCCGTCCCAACAACCTCTTCCGGGGCATGCCCCTCTGCGTTCCCATCTGAGGGCTTCCTCCCCCCCTCTTCTCTTCTCTTCTCTCCCCTCATTCCAGCTTATGCCTCTCTACAGTCCCAACAGCACCTGCTCTGCTCCCTCCTCCGCTTTAACCCTCCCCCAATTCCAGCTGCTTCTTCGTCCTTCCACCCTTACTTCGGCCCTCGCTCTCTCAGTACTCTACCTCAGTCCCTCCCTGACCTGTCTCTGGTTCGTCCCACCCCATCCCTGTGATTACCTCCTGCTTCCCCTTGCCACTCCCACGAACGGAATGCACGAGGATGCATGCCCAGTGCAAAAGCTTCAACAGCAGCCCATGCCCTAGCTCGCCTGAACTTCTCCCACCCACCTCTCCCTTGGCTCTTCCTTCTGCTTAGCCATTGGCATAGTTCTTCCCCTCATGCTGTCACATAAGAAACTACCGCCCCCTACTGCTCCACAAATGGGGCGGCTGTGTATGTTCTGACACTCCCCCCATCATAGCTAGAGGCATACACTGCTCAGCTCTCACACGTTAAGTGTTGAGTTGTAAGCAACTGAAGACTTGCGAGGGAGAGCCAGTCATGTGATAGCAATTGCGTTCGCGCTGAATGGGTAGACATTCTGGTTTGTCTGTCTTTTTTGCAGGGCTGTTTGCTAACAATCGCCTGTATCTATATGTGTGAAGAGCTAAGATGGCTTGATGCAATAGCATTTAGTTAGAGGCTAAAGTTTGTGTATGTATTACAGTATGTGTAAGGTGTTCCTGAAGTGTAGGGCTAAATAGGCCAGATATTTTACCAATTTTTGAGAGCTGCTCAAACGAAGACGAAGTTATGGTTGCTTGATATTTCGCCAGCATAACGCTTTTGGGAACCGCACCACCTTGTGTCACTTATACGAACGGTTACCAGCAGCTCCTCAAGCTTCGCGAATCAGCCTGCTCAACAGTGTTGCGGGAAAAAATGTGGGCAGTATTTTAGCCACTCGAACTTAAGTTGTATCACACAGAGCATCTGAGGTACCTCGCGGCGCGTCACGTCAAATGCTCGAGTCTTGAGTGGAAAAGATCAGTGCACGTGCTGGGCGAGCTTACTTGATCAGTCCCCCCTTAACGTGCACGCTTGCCATCCGGTGTCCCTTTAGCCTGTTGCTGGTCAAACGAATCTCGTTCGCCTGGCAAATTTCCCCAGAGCCGTCTGATACTTTCCTCTGGGCCCGCACGGTCGCGGTCAGTCCGCGTGTGTTCTGATTGAGACGCCTTAAGGGGTCCTCGTAAACGTCTGTGGTTTGCGTCTTCCGTGTCGCACGTGGATAATAGGTTCGTGAGATTGGGTGTGACCCGCTATACGCTGCGCTTACGATTGGACCTGAAGCCATGGCGTCAAGTAGCTTTACCGTTGGCGCCGTGCGGCACGACTCTAGTAGTGCCATCGCCACCCCTCGCCGTGATTCGCGGAACGTTAAGGCTTTGTTCGTCACTTGTCTCTCGAATAAGGCCGGATCCCCTCACCTCCTCTCCTCTCCGCGCTCGCCGCTCGTTACATGCGTCCGTCGATCGTCCTCACCGTTCGAATCTAAGTCTAGATCTGCACACTCGAACCGCGTCTCCTGGCGGACTTTCGTCGGCTTGAAATCACGGGAGCGAGGGGAAGGGGAAGGGAAGGGGGGAGGGGGGATGGAGCTGGTAATTTCCGCCACAGAGAACCACCACAGCAGGTTGAAAAAGCGGGCGCGCGGAAGATTCCGCCAGCCGGGGGCAGGCGCAACCGAGGGCGCAGGGAGTTCACCTTACCGGGGGGGGTTCCGCGCAAGAGGTGGGATGCAAGACGATGCATGGCAAGCGGGGGGATGGGGTGAAGAGAGCCGCAGCAGCGGAAGCAGCGGAAGCGGGACTTTTGGCGGTCTTCGCGACCCCCTGCAGTCGTTAAGCGTCGCGCGCCCATCGTCCGCGGAGTCGGACTCTCTCCCCGCGGACGTGCGCGACAGGGCGCTCTTCGCGGTAGAGGCTCTCGTGGCGGAACCCGGGCGGGCGGCAGGGGGAAATCAAGGCGGCGGAGGCAGAAGGGATAGGTACGGGCGGGTGACTGTGGGTGACGTGGCGGCGCGCAGCGGATTGAAAGTAGGTGACGCGGAAAAGGCGCTAAAGGCTTTTGCGGCGGATGGGGAAGGGTTCCTAGAGGTGAGTGAAAAGAGGGGGGGTTGGAAGAGCGGGGGGATGGGTGGTTGCTGTCTTCAAGGTGTGCCGGATCCTTCAAGGGCGGATTTGAGAGTCGGATACGAGGCAGTTTAAGCTCGGAGTTCTCGTTGATATCTGGTTTCCTCCATTCCTCCTACTCTCTCTCTCTCTCTCTCTCTCTCTCTCTCTCTCTCTCTCTCTCTCTCTCTCTCTCTCTCTCTCTCTCTCTCGAATGGTCCTTGCATTACTTAAGGGGTGGTACAATGGAAGATGCAAACACACAAGCAAAACAAACACCCAAACCGGCATCCTATGTACCTCGAGTCCCCTACCCCCGTCGCAGCCCATCCTCCTACCCCCCCCCCCCTTCCCCTTCTTCCGCCGATCCACCCGCCCCCGCGCGCCCAGGTATCGGACGAGGGCGACGTGCTGTACGTGCTGCCTCGCAACCTGCGCGCGCTCATCGCGCAGCGCTCGCTGCGCATGCGCCTCGCGCCCATGGCGGCGCAGGCCAAGGTGAGGCGCAGACCAAGTATGCTCGCCTGATAGGCAGCTGTGAGAGAGAAGGGGGACCGTCCATGCACTCACTAGTCGTCCACTTGACGCGGTGACTTGTGCGTCCTCGCTCGCTCCCACCCCTCTCGGCCACGTCATCACCTCTCTGCCGACCGCTGCCCATCGCCAGTGCCCGTCCTGTCGTGTCGCCCTGAATCAACCGTGTATCTACCGAAACCTTCTTTGTGTGTGGGTTCGTGCGCTGCACGTGTGTGTGGTTGTGTGGTTGTGTGTGTTTGTGCGCGCGCGCGCGCGCGCGCGTGTGTGTGTGTGTGTGTGTGTGTGTGTTTGTGTGCGTGCATGCGTGTGGGTGTGAGAGCAGGCAGCAGCAGGGTATGTGATGCGAGTGTCGTTCGGCACGGCCCTGGTGGCATCAGTGGTGGTCGTCTACACATCCATCTTCGTCCTCATGACCTCCGCACAGGGGTATGCCACATGTCACATGTCGCATGCCACATGCCCCGTGCCACAAGGTGCATGTCACTTGCTGCATGTTCGTGCTTGCCCTGTACTTATGGAGCTGTGCTGTGGCGTCTTTCTCCTCATCGCCTCCCTTTCCTCCATTCCCTACTTGTGTCGCCTATACCCGCCTTAGCTTTCCTCTTCATGCTTTTCTTTTTTCCCATTTTTGTTTTCCCCTTCTCTCCCCCCCACCCCCGTCCCCTCCGCCCACCATGAGCACAGGGATAGCGATGAGAGGAGGGGGAGGGGGAGAGGCCACTACCACCGTTACCGGGGCCCAACCTTCTTTTTCAACATTGCGGATCTACTCTGGTGGGTCGCGCCTGCTGACATGCGTGCATGCGTGTGCCATCCACGCGTGCTGACATGCGTGCATGCGTGTGCCATCTACGCGTGCCGTGCCGTCATATATGTGTGTATATGTGTGCGGGCATGCCATGCGTGTGCCGTGCCACATAGACTGCTGCTGTGCTGCGGACTGCTCTTGATACGTGGCCTGCAGCATGCGTGTGCCTCCAAGGTCCTTGCTGGAGAACCCTGGCTCTTGCTCTACCTGAAACTATGGCGTCTTCTTACCTTCCATCCAGTTGTAACTTGTAAACCGTGCCCTGCTCTCTCTGAGCAATGTACCGCGCGAGCCCAATGCCGCAGCTTTCACAATTGTCAGTGCCTTACTTTCCGCCTTGGAACCCAAGCAAGCGTGCTGCGTACAGTTCAGTCCAGTCCGTCTGTTTCGCCTGAGCCATGTTGCTGCAGGCAAGCAGGCCCCTCCGCGGAGCAAGGCACAGTTGGTTGTTGAGAGTTCGTGTGTGATAAGTTGATGTTTTAGTCTGGTTGTTGAGGGTTGTCATGAATCGCGCAGCTGACAAGGGGACGCATGAGGGGTCACTCCTAGGACATGCCATCGCCTTGCGATGCAAGCTGGTGGCAGGCAGATCAGATCAGATCAGATCAGATCAGATCAGATCAGATCAGATCAGATCAGATCAGGTTAGACCACTTCAGGTGATCCTGTGGTGGCCATATCAGAGCATCGGCCAGGCCAGCAAGCACTGTTTCCCTTTCTACCGTGGACCCGTGGAATGAATGGTTTGCTAGGCGGGCCCGTTGCGTTGCGGCATGTCACCATCCATTCCATTCCTGTTCACTGGACCTTACTTCGTCCCCTGCATCCTGCGCCATTCCTTGCCACGTCCCCGTGACCCTTTTCCCTGAACCTTTCCTTTCACCCCACCCTCCCCGACCCCTTCCCCCTTCCCCCATCCCCGTCCCCGTCCCCGTCCCCGTCCCCGTCCCCGTCCCCGTCCCCGTCCCCGTCCCTGTCCCCGTCCCCGTCCCCGTCCCCGTCCCCGTCCCCGTCCCCGTCCCCGTCCCCGTCCTCGTCCCCGTCCCCGTCCCCGTCCCCCTTCCCCCCCGTTGCACCAGGTACTGGGACCCTGGGTACCACCGCCGCGTGCGCAGCGAGTTGCAGCAGCGGGAGATGAGCTTCCTTGAATCCGTGCGTGCCATCCATGGCCACCGTGGGGGGAACGAGGAAAGATGGGGGGAAAGGCGGAGAAGGAGGAGTAATGGGAGAGGCTAAGGGAGGAGGGTGGTTGGTGGGAGGGAGGGAAATGAGGGGCATCACATGGTAGTAGGACTAAAGGCTTTAGTGGTCATGCACACACATACACTCTCTTTGTTGTTGTTGCTCGGATTCACTCACTCCCTCACTCAATTCATCGCTCCCACTCTCTCACTTACCGCCTTTCTCAATCTTTCACGCCTACCATCAAACCCCTCATTGTCTGGTGTTGTTTTTGTTCTATGTTCAAATTCAGCAAGTATCAGTTTTCGTCTTCTCCCCTCTTACCCCATCATACCCCGCACTATCGAATCTCTAATGCTCTCTCCTCTCTCTGCTGCGCGGGCAGGTGTTCTCCTTTGTGTTCGGCGATGGAGACCCCAACGATGGCAGGGAGCAGCTCAGATGGAGACTGGTGCGTGCCTTGCCTTGCTCCTCCCACTTGCCGCATGCTCTCTCCGATTGCCCCATGTGCCATGCATGTGCCATGCGCCATGCGGCGCAATGCCCCATGCCCTATGCTCAATGCCCCATGTCCCATCCCCCACGCCTCTTGCTGCACGATTACTTGTGCAATACATGTTCACCTGCATGGTACGCGTCTCCTGTTCTATGCCATGCCACACCCCATTAATTGTGCATCAATCGCAATACCACCTGTCTCTTCTGCCTGCTGCCCCTCTGCCGCCTCAAGGTGTCTGTGCCTCGTGTATATCTCTCTTTTCCCCCCCTCCCCAACACCTCCCCACTGTCTCCGCCCTCCCTGTCTCCCACCCCCTGTCCGCCCCCCCTGCGTCAACCACTCTGCTTGCCCTTTCGTGTCTGCCCCTCCCGTCACCCGGCTGGCGCATGTGGGCGGGCGTGGAGGGCAGATAGGAGAGGTGATCAGCAGCAGGGGCGGGGTGGTGGCAGCGCAGGAGATTGCACCGTACCTTGACCTACCAGAGGACCTGGTATGCTCATGCTCTCATGCTCATGCATTGCTCGAGTATATTCTTAGAACGCCTCAGAAATAGACTCCGACTACCGGACCTGATATGCGCATGCTCTCACGCTCTCATGCTCGTGGATTGCTCAACGTGCCGGTGTGAAGGTGTGAAAACCGCAAAAGCTTTCACCTAAACAGACCTATCCTCCCAAGGACGTGGTGGTCAGTCATCACATGAGGAATGCATGGGGTTATCGGTCTAGACATGACGGGGCGTGCTGCATGTGTGAAGATCATGTCACTCAGCTTAGTGGCACCACTGCTCCCGTCACACCCCTGCCTGCCTCCGCCTCTCCGTTCCTGTGTTTGTCCTTCCTTGGTGTCCTTCCTTCCAATCTCCATCCCATTGACCATCGCAACCCTCCTTTCAACCTGCTCTCTCCTCCTTTCACCATGCTGCCTACACTACACCCCTACCACAGTCAAACGAGGCCTACATGCTGCCGGTGCTACAGCGATTCCAAGGCACGCCCTCTGTCGACGACCAGGTGGGCCTTGCTGTTCTGCTCTGCCACTCCCTCCTCTCCACCTGTCGTCGTTTCATTGCCTTCCACTGCCTTTCACTGCCTTCCACTACCTTCCACTGCCTTCCACCGCCTTCCACCGCCTTCCACTGCCTTCCACTGCCTTCCACTGCCTTCCACCGCCTTCCACTGCCTTCCACTGCCTTCCACTGGCTCATTCTTCCTTCAACTTTGCAAGGCCCTGCAGCGCACCACTCTGTATACTTCGTAGTTCACCTTCCACCCCTACGTCTCTTTCCTCACACCTCCTCTCCTCCTCCGGCCGCCCTGTCCCCGTCTTCCCACCAGGGCCACATATTCTATGCCTTTCCGCTGCTCCAGCGCACAGCAGAGCAGCACGACACCCGCACTCCCTCCTACTCCAACTCTCGTGCGCCCGCTCCTATCTTCGTTGAAAACGCCTGGTCCTTCAGGTGAGCTTTGTTGGTCCGTCAGGTGACCTTTGTTGGTCCGTCAGGTGAGCTTTGCTGGTCAGTCAGGTGACCATTTAGCTCCGGAGGTGGCCTTTGTCGGTGTGACACCAGTTGCACTCGTAGGTAAAACTCATTCTCTTAGAGCAGTGTGTGAGATCCGATGTGGTGAATGGTTCCTCAAGTAATCTTTCCACACATCAGAACCCACGCCCTGTAAAATTAATTTGTGTTGATGCAATTGGGGCCTCCAGTAACCCATTCATGCCTGTGTACGTCCTCTCACTCTCCCCCTTTTTCCTCGGCTCTAGTGACGCTCCCCCCACGAAGCGAGTGTTGGCAGTGGGGCTGGGAATCATCAATGTGGTCGGCGTTCTAATACTCTCCTCCATGCTCAGGTGCATGCTCACGTGCTCGTCTCTTTGCTCAGCCGAATGCTCAGGTGCTCAGGTGAGTGCTCAGGTTTTTCTCTTCCTGCTTGAACAACGAACCTGTTCTGGGATGGTGGCTGCATGGAGGTCTGTAGCAGCATGTGCATGGGGCTGGGATTCGGTTGAGAAACAGGACACGTTGAGGTAAGCTGAATCGGGTGGAGGTAACGAAGGGATTGGGAGGGGGCTGGGCCAAATAGGAAAGGTATGAGGGTTGTTCATGTTCTGTTATGCATGTTCTCTCATGCGATTCAATTCCCTCTTTTCCTCCATCCCTCCATCCCATGCATGTTCCTTCCCCTGCCTCGCCTTGTGCATCCACTGAACCTGCCCTTCTGCCATTTCTAATCTCTATTCCGCTCCACTCCTGTTCCCCTTCCTGACTAAAACCACTCTTCCAGGAACCCAGCCGTTATTCGGAAGGCAGGGCTTCCCCTAGTTGCCACAATACAGCGCCTCATGCCTGCACTGCAGGTGATCAGTGAAATAGTCTTCTGCCTCAACCCTCAAGAGTCTTGGTTTGAGTATTTCCCTCAATGTTGCCCTATCCTCCTTTCAACTCGGCCAACCTGGTCTACTCTTGCCTCTTCCTTCCCCCATTGTGTGCTTCCCCCTTTTCACCCGTCCCTTCCTTCCCACCTCTTTTTTCCCCCGCACCCAACTATTGTGTGCCCCGTCCCGCCCTCACCTCTCTCTGTCCAGGCATATTCTGTGGCATTCTTTGTCATTCCCTTGTGCCGCTGGGCATTCCTCAGCTCCACCAACTCAGCTATTGAGACTCGCAACCAGAGGAGAAGAGAGAGCGCTCACATTCTCTCCCATCCCTCACCCCACCTCCGGAAGAAGGTTAGTTCCATTCCAAAGCCGCCACCATACCACCTCAGTCTCCTTTGAACCTGTCCCGATGGTTTTTTTTTTTTTTTTTTTTTTTTTTTTGGTTTGCGTGCGTGAAATGGGAAGTCATGGTTGCTTGTTCTGGCCCTTTCGGGTATTCACTGGTTACATTTCCAACATTTCGACTTCACATTTGCATCACCCGCTTCCCTCTTGACAGCTGGCTAGTGCACGGCAGAAGGCAGAACGAACTGTTTTGGGAGAGGAGCGAGTGATCTACTCTACACAAAAAGATGTGGCAGAACAGGAGTTGGAGGAGAGAGAGTGGGATGCTCGGCTGGACAAGAGGCAACAATAGTCTTCATAGGAGTATCATATACGGTGATGAATTTCGAAGGCTTCGATTCACCAAGTCATTTGCTTTTGGTACAGCACAGTCCTGATTATTGTTCCCTGAAGAGCATTCGGCAAGTGAATATTGATGCCCCAAAACGTCTTTCCCCAAAATGTTTTTATTCTTTTGTTCAGTAGGTGGAATTGCATTACACTGTATACTGCGAAAATCAGGTTGGGTCTGGAATCGTCGAAGTCTTTATCAATATAAGACTTCTAATACATCAAATTCAAGTGTACTTAGTGTACCGAAGCTTGGCATCGCTGCACATTGTTGCAGCGAATACTTGATGCCACGAGCGGCTTGGAATGCCATAAAATCGATCAATCCTGGCATTCGCCACTCAACCAAGCGCTGTTTCTGCAAAGATGACGAAGAAACGAGACGACGGAAGCCGAAGAAACAGCAGGACCACGGAAATTAGGTGCAAATGCTGCCTATCTGAGAGCAGCATCGCTTCAACAGGCTCTGTTGCGAGCCTGGAGACACCAACAGCAAGCCTTTTGTGCAACATATCTTCTTCATGGAGCTCCGAAACGCATTCAGGAGAAGCAAGTAGCTCATGCAGCATTGCAGGTTCAAGAAGAAGAAAATTCTCGCTTCTCAACCCTTCCATTGACCATGAGGTTTCCTCGACCTTCAAGCAGCAACGGACTGGCATGGAGACGATGAAGAAGTTTGACCGGCCAATGCAAGCAATCCCACAGGTTTTTATCGTTGATTTCTGATATTGATCTTTACTTTGCGATCTATGTCATTGCTTACACTGAATAACATCCGCAGGTGGGCTCTGTGCCGTCGAGCACTGTCTTTTACCCTCTTCCGAAGGTAGATGAAGCAGAAGAATAAACGAATTTCATGGATATGGCTTCGTGGGTCCGTGCTCGACGAGCCTTCGTTTTTAAATATGTTCTGAGTGGACAACAAACGACCAAGTTACTGGAATCGGCTCTTTCTCTTCCATGAACTGGATATTCATACCACTTCGACAATATTTACATGCGTGGTGCGGGTCTTTTTTTTTTTTTAAGACGCTTTAAATCCTTCTCACGGCCTTCTACGTCAAGCCTTCTGGATAATGCTCATAAAGGAAGTTTGCAAGAGAATGCAAAATGAATTATTGCGTCAAACTCCATGACTACCTTGCGTGCCTATCTAACTGCCCAAGAAGCTAACAGAGGCACTAGTTGTGGAGGTAATTCTCATGCCAATGGTGAACGCACGAAACATAGTAGGCACTTGAACCTGATTGCCGTACTTTTAGCCCGAGACTGAAATTTTCCTTTCATATTATGACCATGCATGCTTTTGGCAGTTTGTGAGGCTTGCAATAGAGCTAGGATTGCATAACGCAATAGAAGGGAATGTGAGGGAAGTCATGAGTGAACACTGAATATTTAAATCACGGTAATGCGTTAGACATTTATGTGAGGGCTGGAAAATACTGAAGCCTCCGGCTGCCAATGAGTTTGCTTAGGTTTGTATTGCACAATGGTAACGGATGGGTTTTGTCAAGAGTGATGAAGGGGGTAATGATTGTCGCGATGTTGGATGGAGTAAGGAAATGTGATGTTTTCCTGGCAACATAAGATAACTAATCAATCTTGACTACCTTGTCGAGCAATGCATTTCAGTAGAGCCCAGCTTCCTAACTTTGTAACAGACCGCTTTACGAGCGATTGCGACAGACGATCAAAACTTCCTCGCACCCTCTTATCCATTTCCTCGCCACGTCGCAGGAGCGAGCAGTCGGCGTTGAATGGAGCCACGCTGACACAGGCATTGCTACTTTCCTTGGGATTCCAAACCCAGCTTCCATTCTCGCGTGAACTGAGGACGTGTCTCATGTGAAGGGTCCGCTGGATCTGGTCCGCGACCAGAATCTAAACGCCTGGTCCGGGTTCTGGTCCGACCCACTTGGCGGACCAGCGTTGGACCAGACACGGACTGGTCTGCATAATGCGTCGCGCTTCGGGCTGCACAGTTGCGAGATGCAGCAGTAGCAACGAATTTGAAATTTAGTTACCCATTATATTCGTCTGCACAAAAATCTCACGCGAAACTTACAAAACAAGAAATTTCGCAAAAAATAAATGTTTCACCACTTACTGTTTACGGATCAGGCGCGGACTGGTCTGGAGGGCCAAATAATTGGCACCGTTTTAGTGCCATTCGAACGGTATAACGGGGTTACAAGCCCCGCATTCTGGTCCCGGTCCGCCCTGGTTCACGCGCTGGTTCTTGAGCTGGTCCGTCAGGTCCGAGCCGGACCCACGTGAACTCAGACATCTGAGACATGCTCTGAGGTCGGGACTGGTTTGCAAGGGGGGGTTAGTGAACTCGGATTCGGAAAAGTTTGGCTGGAGTTCGTATCAAAAGTTTGCCTAGAGTGTGTGAGAGGAAAGAAATCAAAGCTTGCCTGGAGTACGTCGCCAGCGACGAAAAGGGTACTGCATAACAACCTCGTACAGTAATTGGAAGGGGCAGCTCGTGAACCGAAAACCGAACTCGTCAAGATGATTCCGGTCTGGGAGCTCACAACCTCCACATTCCCCATTTCCCAGCCCTCCAGCACCGAACCTCACTCACTGCTACCCCCCACATCAAACAGCCTGCGCAAACCTACCCTTTCCCCCACTTTACCCCCCCGCTATCGTTTTCCCCCGGCTGACCCATCTGTGTTGCTCCGCGGGCCTGTCCACCCCCCTACCACCCCCTGGCCGCTTCACACCTCTCCCCCACCCATCTTCCCCTTCGCTTTCCTTTCTCTCCCTGCCAGCGCAGGGCTTGCATCTCCAAACCTCTCATTTCACCCTCGAACCCTACTTCGCAGTCTCATCCCCTCCGCTCCCGTCGTCCCATCATGGCGGCCTCTCTCGCGTCCTCCTTCGCGTCCTCCGTCAGGCTCGCGCCTGCCTCCTCCTTCCTTTCGGGGGAGCGCATTCAGCAGTCGTCGGCTGTTGCCGGCTCCACGCCCGCAGCCGTTAGCGCCAGCCCCGTCGTCCGCGTCGTGGCCGTGCGTAAAATCCAAGGGACCGTCGTGTCGACCGCGAACGACAAGACGGCCGCGGTCGAGGTGAAGCGCATTTACCCGCATAAGCTGTACAAGAAGCGGATCGCCTCTGTGAAGCGGTACCAGGCGCACGACCCGGAGAACCAGTGCCGCGTGGGTGACTTCGTGACTCTTGCCAAGTGCGCGCCGGTCTCCAAGTCGAAGAAATTCATTATCGTGGACATCCGATCGCCTCGCCTCGCTGGGCAACCGTCGTCGGACCTTCCGCCTCTTCAGTCGGAGGCTTCCGCTCAGGCGTAAACGTGAGGTAGGAGGAGAGGAGGGTTAGAGGAGCATCTTGGTGAGGTTCTTTACTGCCGCGCGTAAAGTGACAGTTCGATTATTTCTGCGCGAACGCGTCGCTATCTAGCAGTTGACTTCCGAGCAGGGTTTAGGCCTATATAGGTAGTGTGACGAGGTGGGTGAGCCAGTGACTTGTACTGCATTTATTCAGAGCGTATTGAAGCGGACCACAGCTTGGCTAAGCAGCGTTGGGTGCTTCAGATGAGAAGAGTAGCAGAACACGGCGGTGACAATTTCAGCAACTGACGGCTCATCCTATTTCTTAGCGAATGGCGTTGGTATGTTGCTTGCAACGAGCACGCTCGCGTATGTGCAAAATCTTCTTGTTCGAAGCCGCGTCATCTGTCAGTCCGTTCCTATCATCGCTGTCCGTGGCGATGTGTACCAAATTCACTCATGCCTGGTCGAGCGTCATGCCGGCTATGGAAACCTTGCATCACCAAGGGCCCTGACTTGTTATCTAGCTGTCGTCGATCTTTCTCGTGCAACGCATCCGTACTTGTCCAATGAGACTTTCCCCCTCCTCCCTCCCTCCCTTCCTCCCTCCCTCTCTCTCCCTCTCTATCTCTCTCTCCCTCTCTCTCTCTCTCTCGCTCTCTCCGTCTCTCTCTCTCTCTCTCTCTCTCTCTCTCTCTCTCTCTCTCTCTCTCTCTCTCTCTCTCCCTCTCCCTTTCTCCCTCCCTCCCTCCCTCCCTCTCTCTCTCTCTCTCTCTCTCTCTCTCTCTCTCTCTCTCTCTCTCTCTCTCTCTCTCTCTCTCTCTCTCTCTCTCTCTCTCTCTCTCTCTCTCTCCCCCCCCCCCCCCCCTCCCTCCCTCCCTCTCTCTCTTCCTCAACCTTTCTTTGCTACTTCCTCCCTGTTGCACATTAATTCAGATGGAGAGACAATGATGCAGCGGTGGTTTGAGAACTCTCGGTAGTCAATGGTTTCCACATCAGTTCATAATGTAACAATGGAGCAGCTTGTATTGCAGCCAAGTACCATTCTTTCTAAATTTCAAGCTGGACTGCATGCAAACTGTGCTCAGGCCCACGTCTTTTTAAGATCCGTTTCCGTAGTTAGCTTAGTTTCAAAAGTCTGAACCATAAGTGCCGTTATGAAGGATTGAGTAGCAGGCTGTAAAAGAAAAAGTGGCAAATATGGGTTGTAGCTGGTTGGGAACGCTTCCACACAGGCGAGCCTGAGCAGAGCAGAGGTACACATTTCATGAGGTTTTCGTATGCTAAATGATGAAAAACGGGCAAGTTCCTTTTATTACGCAATAGTAAGTGTACAACATTTCTTAAGTATTCTGACAGACATAATAATATACAAGAGCAAGCAGTCTAGGGCTCCTACACCCTGCCTTTCCTAGGCTTGGTAGAGCTCTTCTTGCAGTCTGGCAGGGGATTCCCACAGAGCTTGGGGTTGCCGGGTCGGAAGCAGGAGAGGGGCAGGTCGGAGAGGGAGGAGGGGACGGAGCCAGAGAGGGAGTTACCAGCAAGTTGCACTTGCAGGGAGGGGGCAACAGCACGCAGGCGTGCAGGGATGGTGCCTGACAGCCCGCTCCACGACACGTCTAGCTCCTGCAGGGCCTTCAGGGACGCCAGCCCTGCAGGGATGCTGCCGCTC